ACTCTCCACACTTTCTCCTCTCCTCCTCACTGTCTATTCTCTTCTCCTCACTGTCTCCTTTACTCTCCTCACTATCTCATCTCCCTTATCTTTTCCTCACGGTTTCTTCACCTCACTCTTCTCTCCTCATTGCCTCCTCTCCCTTCTCTCCTCCTCACTGTCTCCTCTCCTCTTCTCCTCACTGTCTCCTCTCCTCCTCACTGTCTCCTTTACTCTCCCCACTGTCTCCTCTCCTCTCCTCTCTTCTCCTCACTGTCTCCTTTACTCTCCCCACTGTCTCCTCTCCTCTCCTCTCTTCTCCTCACTGTCTCCTTTACTCTCCCCACTGTCTCCTCTCCTCTCCTCTCTTCTCCTCACTGTCTCCTTTACTCTCCCCACTGTCTCCTCTCCTCTCCTCTCTTCTCCTCACTGTCTCCTTTACTCTCCCCACTGTCTCCTCTCCTCTCCTCTCTTCTCCTCACTGTCTCCTTTACTCTCCCCACTGTCTCCTCTCCTCTCCTCTCTTCTCCTCACTGTCTCCTTTACTCTCCCCACTGTCTCCTCTCCTCTCCTCTCTTCTCCTCACTGTCTCCTTTACTCTCCCCACTGTCTCCTCTCCTCTCCTCTCTTCTCCTCACTGTCTCCTTTACTCTCCCCACTGTCTCCTCTCCTCTCCTCTCTTCTCCTCACTGTCTCCTTTACTCTCCCCACTGTCTCCTCTCCTCTCCTCTCTTCTCCTCACTGTCTCCTTTACTCTCCCCACTGTCTCCTCTCCTCTCCTCTCTTCTCCTCACTGTCTCCTTTACTCTCCCCACTGTCTCCTCTCCTCTCCTCTCTTCTCCTCACTGTCTCCTTTACTCTCCCCACTGTCTCCTCTCCTCTCCTCTCTTCTCCTCACTGTCTCCTTTACTCTCCCCACTGTCTCCTCTCCTCTCCTCTCTTCTCCTCACTGTCTCCTTTACTCTCCCCACTGTCTCCTCTCCTCTCCTCTCTTCTCCTCACTGTCTCCTTTACTCTCCCCACTGTCTCCTCTCCTCTCCTCTCTTCTCCTCACTGTCTCCTTTACTCTCCCCACTGTCTCCTCTCCTCTCCTCTCTTCTCCTCACTGTCTCCTTTACTCTCCCCACTGTCTCCTCTCCTCTCCTCTCTTCTCCTCACTGTCTCCTTTACTCTCCCCACTGTCTCCTCTCCTCTCCTCTCTTCTCCTCACTGTCTCCTTTACTCTCCCCACTGTCTCCTCTCCTCTCCTCTCTTCTCCTCACTGTCTCCTTTACTCTCCCCACTGTCTCCTCTCCTCTCCTCTCTTCTCCTCACTGTCTCCTTTACTCTCCCCACTGTCTCCTCTCCTCTCCTCCTCACTGTCTGTTTTCTTCTTCTCGCTGTCTCCTTTACTCTCCTCACTATCTCATCTCCCTTATCTTTTCCTCTCCTCTCCTCTCCTCTCCCCCACTGTTTCCTCCTCACTGTCTATTCTCTTCTCCTCCCTGTGTTCTGTCCTGTCCTCACTGCCTCCTCTTCCTTATCCTTTCCTTACTCTTTCCTTTCCTCCTCACTGTCTATTCTCTCTCGTCTCTTTTTTTCTCTTTACTGTCTCCTCTTCTCTCATGGAGTAGAGAAGTTGATCGAGGGTTTGGAGTCTCCAGAGCCCTCTTCCTCCCTGATTCTCCCTGACCTTCCCTTGAATGACCCCTTCAGCCCTGCAGACTGTAGTCATGGTAACCAGCCACTTGTCTTTTTATTGTTGTTTTTTTGGCTATAACCCCACAACCGATACATAATGTTATTGGCCTTCATTGGTCTCCGTTGGTCTTTTAATGTTGATTGTTTTCTCAGTTCAGCTCAGAGTAACACCTGGAACTCCTGGACGTCCCTAATCGTCCCATTTAATGCCTACTCCTTCTTGTCTGTCCTGTACTTACAACCTCACCGCAGTCTCATCTCTCCACCTGTATAATTGTTGTAAACTTTGTCTTCATCTGTATATATTTAAAAGATCTGGTTTAGAGAGTGCTACTTCATGCATGGTGTGAATTGATGTCACCATGGCCATCTCTCTCACCTGTACCTTTGCTACACAAAGCATCATATTTGCCCATTTTCTTTTTATATTTCTGCAGTTGGGATGGATTCTCTGATCCCTGGTCTGGATCCTCTACAGACTGATCCTGGGTCAGCTGCACTACCAGGTCAGCAGTTCTGTAAATGTGATTCTATTCTTTATCATACAGCGGCTCACTGAAGCATTCATTGAATCTGCTGACATTAGGCTGGGAAAATCTGCAAGGTGTTCTGGATGACATAATTACTGCCAGTTATGAACCTCCGTAGCAGCACAATAAGTAGGCAGCATGGCTGTTAGAATGAAACAAGTTTCCTGTAAAATGGTTATGGTTTTAAACAAACCCTTTACTCCAAGTATTGCACTTTAGTGCAGACCACTACTGAAGCAGAATGTGTTGTCGCATGGTGCTTGATAGATCACAGGTTAGTGATCACTGAATAAGGCATAGCATGTTATCATTTTATTGAGATTGCTTTGGCACATTTCCTGCTCTATTTCAGCCATCAGTTATTAGATTTACTACATTTTCTATGTGCCAGGATACAGCAAGTCCTTTATTCAACATAGTGTTCTTGAAAAAGAGAATCAATAACAGCAGTAAGTCTGTCCACTGATGAAAACAAGCTGATAGGTTCTGCACAATAAGCACATGACCTCACCTAGCAGTGATATAACTTGTCATCGCTTGTTGATGAGAACATGTGGAGGGGTTTGGTTGAATGATGAGTACTTAATTATGTTGGCAGCAAAAAGATCGAACCAATGGCACATTGTTGGTCACACTAGGGTGATGACCTACCGAATATTTCTTTAAAAGCCACAAAGTGCTGAGTCACCTTTCCTGAAATTGATGCATGCAATCCAAGTTGGACTGTGTTATTTTGTCTGTTTATATTGTCAGTAGAGCCACCTGGTGACCAAACAGCCAACTACATCCCAGTGTGTATCACGTAACTTCATTGGTTATGAGTCTCCTATATTGTGGGCCAGTTGGCTTTACTTAGTAGTTATTTGTTTCATTTGCATGCACAATTAGATATTTTCACTGATATCATCGTGGCCCCCAAAAACTATTTTGAATCTTGGTAGCATTTATTTAGTAGCCATTATTTTTGACTGGAATATACAGTAGTCTTACATTTTTCTTTTTACTGAATAATGGGAAATTTGGTAAAAGTTGGATGAATAAATAAGGCTGTACACATGTGATATGGACTAGTGTCTGTGAATATGAAACCACACAATGACTGCTATTTATTCAGATATGAAGTCTGCATGTTCTGCGTGAAAGTAAATGTTAAAATTTAATTTACAGTGTTAAATCATAAAACACAGAACTTCTAGAAAAAAAAAAATAATAATGATAGGGCACTAAAATTATTGAATTGGTAAAGTTTGCGAATGCAATTTAGACATCCTTTTTGATTATTAAAATTTATTTAAACTTTAAAACAGAATCCGGAAAATGGAAAACAGAATTTGGGGTAATAAAACATAATTTGGGGAAAAAATAAAACAAATTTCATAGATTTTTCACTTCTACTGCAGAGCTTCTCTCTTAGTTCTCACTGTCACTTTCTCCTTGTCCTTTCTCTCTTCATATTCCCTTTTATCTGTCACATCTAAACTTTGTGGATGTCTTTTTGTGTAGCACTCTCTCTATTCTCAATATTCTATTTCTCTTGTAACTCATCTTTCTGTTCTCTGTCACTCTCTATTCTTCACGCTTGCCCTGTGTCCTCCAGAATCTTTGGTTGGACAGGATTCTCTTTTGGATGGGCCGCTTCTCTCCCACCCCTCCACTGGGGGTCTAATACTGGCCTCATCCCCCTCATCTCTCCCTACACCATCTATGGACCAGTTTACTACTACTGCTTTGAGTAGTGGACAGTTCCACCAGGGTAAGAAACATATGCACACTCACCTCATTGCATGTCGTATATGTAACAAGCCATAGGTTGTGAGTTTTGTTTTGTATATTTGGCTTATCCACTCGTCTGGGGATAACACCAATAGCTATGCAAGGTTGATTTTACACATTGCGTCAAAACACACTTGTGTTTTGTGTCATTCTGAGGCATTTACTCCAGCTTTAAACAGTAGAGCATGGCGCTAAAAACATCAACGTCACTGGTTTAATTTCCAGGGAACTAATACAATGTAAACATGCTAGTTGCATTGGATAAAAGTCTCTGCCAAATGCATAGAGTTTCTATAGTAGACATTAGTGTAAACCGTCTTCTTCCAAGGTCAGTTCAACTACTGTCATGACTGGGCAACAGAAAATGTTAAGTATATTTGTTCTTAATGATATTTACAACTTTTTGTCTCTACTCCTGAACACATCCAGTTCAATGGAACAGATGTTTTGCCACTGTAACACAAGAATGCATGTTAAGTACACTACCATTCATAAGTTTAAGCTCAGAAAGGTTTCTTTATTTCTTAAGATTTTTTTTCCTTCCCAGCAATGGTACATTGAAATGATAAAAATGTACACCAAAATATCAAGCAGCACAACTGCTTTCAACATTTATAATCTTAAGAAATGTAATTTCTGAAGGATCATAATAACCATATTAGAATAATATAATCTTACCTTATGTATTACTCATATTAGTGCTTTGTAATTAACATATCATACAACTATAGCTATGGCTACTTACATACCCTGAAAGTTACCTCCGTTTTTGGAACCGAAAGCTGAGTAAATCCGCTTATTACCCTTAAACATAACTGGGCATGTCACATAACCTGCTTTCTGGAATACCCCCCTGACCAGCAACGCCAAACATAGAAACATAGACGCATTTGATGTTTTAATGTACAGATAGTGTAGCATGCTTTTCGACCAATGAGATTTCATAATGGGTTTCAAAACACAGCAGCAGAAATAGAAACCAATTTGAATCAAGAAAAGGTTTTAGATTTTGGGTAAATAAATGAAATAAGCCAACATGCTGAGTCAAATGGTGAAGATGGTTTGTGCTCTGTGCTCAGAATAGGGCTTGACAAATGAAGCACTCCATGTTTCTGAAAGTCTCTTGACGCTCGTTTAGGACGTTACTTACATTACCCACCTGCTCTTGCTTATCTATACTCGTCACTTTCCTTTTCCCCTCTCTCAAACTTTCTTCCTAATCTCTTTCTATGTTGTTTTCTCTCTGGCGGTCTAACCTCTTGCTGCAGCCTCTGATCCAGCTCACCAGGCTCTCTCAGGCTTCCAGTCCTCTGAGACTGGGGACCAAAGCTCCAATAACCAGTTTGACCCAATTCCAGTGCTTATCTCCAAAAGCACCAGCCAAGGTAAGGGAGTTCAGATAACAGCAAAAGTTTCTGGAAGAGAGCACATGCATCTAATTCACCCCGAAGTGTAGATGTATGTTTGCAGATTTATCAAACAGAAAGTAGTTTTGTACCGTTAGACACTGGCGTCTTTGACATTATTAAACCTGGATTGGAGTAGTGCAACAGAATAGGAAACACTTTTTTTTGCATCACAAGCTGTTTTTACTCTGTCTTAAAAAAAATATTTCACCCCAAAATCAAAAAAGAAAAGGCCATTATGTTTTGCATTGTGATTTTTATTTTGGCAAATTCTTAGTACCATAATGTCTTTTTATTGTTGTAATGATTTTTGTTTTGTTTTTTGGTGTAGTGATCTTTTTACCCATTATTGTCAGTGGTTATTCTCATTAAAAAGAGATTCTGATAAAATAATTTTAACATGAATTAATTTATTTTTGTTTATATATTTATTGTATGTACAGTTTGGGGTCAATAAGAGTTTTTTAAAATGAATACTTTTAATCAGCAAAGATACATTCAATTAGGGCTGCACGATATTGGAAAAAAACTCACATTGTGATATTTTATTTTTCTGCGATATATATTGCGATATGAAAACAAAAATCACCACATGATTTGAATAGTTTATTTAGAAAAAAAAAAATCAATGATTGGTGTGATTTTGTAGGCGAGTAAATCAGCATAGGAAATAAACAAATTACAAGAAATGTTACATTTTAAAATGTTTAAAATTCATCAAAAATCCTGAAAAAATGACACCACAGTTTGATCAAATAAAACATTAAAAATAATAAGAAGAATTTCAAAAACATAAAAAAAAAATCTCACTGTCCCCAAACGTTTGACAGTAGTGTAATGGGAGTTTGAGGGAATTTTTTTTCTTCTTTTGATTTTGGGTTGAAGTACAACTTGGCTTTTTATCCATAAAATATTAAAGTAAGTGGGAGTCATGCACCAACAAAAATAATATATTAAATTAAAATGTAAACTATGACCTTGAAGCAGCATTACAGTGAACATAATTGCGAACATAATTTACCCTTAAGACTTTAAGCTTTTTGGGGCTTTTGTTTTTCTTTCTTGCCATGCTATTTAAAATATTCCACTATTCCCACACATAATCCTTACTTTGATGCTGCTCTGTTATCTTTTAGCATTTTATGCTTTCTCTTTCCTGCTATTCATCTGGTTTTTGCTTTTTCTCTTTCCTCTTTTCTTTTCTTTTCTTTTCTCACCCCTCATCCCTCACTCACCCTTCGTCAACATCTTCTTTTCATCCTCATTCTTTCCCACACTTCTCATTTCTCACCTCCTTTCTCTCTTTCTCTCTCCCTCACTCTTTCTCTTTTCCTCTTTCCGTCATGTTCTAGGTGGTCACTCGCGCAGCAACAGTGGCAGTTCTGAGACCAGTCTGCCCTCGCTGGCACGCTCCCTTCTGCTGGTGGACCAACTCATCGACTTGTAGAGGAAACAGAGAGAGAGAGGCAGATGAATAGAGAGAGACAGGGAGAGGGCAGCGTGCAATTCTTACAAATATAGCGAGAGCTAAAAACCTAATCTGAAGTAGTCCCATAAACCCTGTCCATCCTTGCGCACATTTCCCTTTGACATTCTTTTCACATTTGCTGTATGTCTTTCTTCTGCTGATCCATAAACATTCTCATCACTCTATCATTGATTTATGCTTCAGGATGTCAAAACATGGCAACCAGTGACTATTTATGTCAACTTCCGAAATATACGGCTCAACTAGGAGTGATATCAAGCCGAAAGTCAAAATTCAATTGATTACCGTTCTTTATAAAACGGAGAGTTCCGGTCCTTGATTCTGATTGGTTGAGTCTCGAAGCTGTTGTAAATTACTCTACAAACATACACCAATTAAAGACAACATGAAGTTCTTTATCTTCGGTCATGTGGCGTTTCAAAATTAAACTGACTATTCAATGAGACGTAATGCAGGAAGGGATTTGATTTAATTCACTTCAGTTCAAAAGTTTGAGGTTGGTAAGATATTTCGAAATGTTTTCGAAAGAAGTCTCTGATGTTCACCAAGGCTACATTCGTTTGATAAAAATAACGTAAAAACTTATTTGGAATTTCAAATTATACATAAACTACAGCAAACCCAGTGTGATTCAAAAATGTATCAGTATTTGTGAGAAATTTGATTTGTTTAGGATTACTTTGATGAATCGAACGTTCAAAGGAACAATTTGTTTGAAATTGATTTTTTATTTTTTTATGGTTGCATAAATTTCTTTACTGTCATTTTTGATCAATTAATAGCATCCTTGCTGAATAAAAGTATTGATTACATTAAAAAAAAAAAAAAATCTTACTGACCCCAAACTTTTGAATGATGCTGCAAACTTTTGTTAGGTCTTTTGTTAAGACATTGCAGGTGTGTTGTTAGTAACAAACCACAGTCTTTAAAAAGCTGATAGCTACCTTAAAATGCCTGTGCCATTACAACAGAAATGGAGCCTAGCTAGAAGTGTTAGCGTTCACATACTTGTATGTGTTGGTCCTTAAAAGTTGTAAAGTGAAAATTTTCCCACCCACATAATTAGATTTAGTTTATCCTGCAAAGTAGACATCATCACCAGTCAAACACATGAACTGCTGTAAATAAACACCTGTCGATGCGTTTTCCTTTGCAGCTGTTAGAATCTGTCACAGCTGTATTCATCATTTCATTCTTTCATCCCATCATTTATTTTTCAGTCATTCTGTCTCTTCTGCTTCATTAATTTCTTCTTTTACTCGTTCATTTATACCCCATGCTTCTTTTTTCTTTGCGTTTTGCGATGTCTGACAATTATTGTGCGCTGTATTCTGCCTGTGTGTTTCTGCTCTGGGCCTGTCATGTGAAGGCTGTTTTGGATAAACTTGATTATACAGATAGCGACTATCAGAGTTCTGCAGTTTTGAAAAGATTAAGTGATTCAATAACATTTCATGTATCAAGCTTGAAATGATAAATGTAAATATAAGCTGTTCCAAAACCTCATGAGCTGTGCCTGTAGGCTGCATTTAAGGCATTATTTATTTTTTAGCCATTACCTCCTCCAATACGAACCTCTATTTTTAAATCTTAACCTCTTAAGGTTTCAATTAATAGCAGATATGTGTTTGTAAGTTAACTGTGTTTAGACTGAGCCTATGAAGGACTGCTCTTCCTGAGGTCTCGTCTACCATGTGACGTTTACCAGAAATAAGAGATTCATATAAAACAATGATTCGTTCTTGAGTTACTGCCGGAAAATAACTAGCTGTCGACCAATCTGTGTTAATCAACACGCAATACAGATTTTTGGGAAAGTGTAAAGTTGGCTTGGAAAAGTCATGGATATTGCAGCAATGAATATCATTTCTCCTAGTTATGTTTAACTACTACTTCATCTATTTTGAGTAATGTGATTCTGATTTGTTCAATTGAATTGAATTGTGTTCAAACTGGTGTGTTTCCCAAAAGCATCGTTAGCCAACTATGGTTGATAGGTAACAGTTTCCTGAAACTGTATTGTAGTTCCAAAGAATATTCTTTGCATTGTACATTTTTGTAGTTGCAACTACAGCTCTTGACCTGTGGTTAGAAGCATGAATAAATCATCAAATGAAGCAAGACAGGAAACAAAAATAGTCAAATAGTCCTCGGGTGCCACGTTCGTTATGGCGGTATTTCTGAGAAATTACGAAGTGGAGAAAACTGCTGACCGAATAGCAGCATGTATTAGAATAAAGCGTGCACCAATTAGATACTGCATGTCAATGTGATTAAAAAATGAATGGCTTTCTGTTGTTTTGTGTAAATTAACTATGATAAAACGACAACAATTGAATCAATTAATTAGCAGAAATTACTACTGTGCATGAAGTCATTAACGACAGTCCTATACTCTAGAACAAACATGGTTCAAACGACAGAGGTGCGAACATGTTACTACTGTTTTAGGAAACAGTTACAACTAGCTAGTTAATTTCTCCAACGATGCGGTAGTAAATCAGCAAATTCCGATGTTTTGTGGGAAACGCACACTTGAAGATCATTGGCTCTCATGTGAACCAAACAAGAATACATTTTTTAGTAATCACAAATTACTTGAAATGTTATGGAAAAGTGCTAGAAATTCATTGACAAAATAAAAATCTGACAACAGAAATAGCTTATTATCCTTCAAGTTAACTTATTTGTTAATCGGCTGAGCGGGTATAGTTATCGGCTTATGTCAAATATTTCAAAACGGTGAAATATTGCTTTTATATATCAGTCTATCACTATCCTAAAGCTGATTTTACACTGCTGTGTAGACACTGAGTACGTTTACATGGACAACAATAATCCGATTTTAACACGATTAAGACAATACTGTGATTAAGAATCTACCATGTAAACAGAGATTTTTGATTACCTGTCTTTCTGTACTATATGTACTGTATGATGTTTGGATTTTCATAATTAGATGTGTGGAAGCTGTAATAAAACAGAATCATTTCTTTTGCGATGTAACTGCTTATAGAGTTTACATTAATGTTTTTTTTTTTTGTTAAATGCTAAGAGCATTGTTTTATTTTGAGTCATTGTTTTGTTTGAAGCTTGTGCAAATGTTGCATCGGTAGAACATTGTTCTGTAATATTACTACCCGATCTCATGAGAAAATATAACTATTTTACGTAATACGTTTGTCGTAAACTTGCAATTTTTAGAAAAAAATCATAAGCGTGAGGGTCCACCCTAAACCTAACCATCAGTGGGACATAAGCAAATTGTTTGAAAATGTACGAATGCGGTTGTACAAATTCATACAAATTAGCCACCATTTCATAGTTATGAATTGTCATGAGATTGAACGTTTTCTGTGTTATCAAATCCCCTTCCTCCCTTTGCTTGTTTTAATGTGGCTGACCTATGCAATCTGACTGTAGTGCTCATGTTACTCTTAGATATGCACTTAGCGGTGTGGCTAAGTAGTCTGACGTCTGTCATGTGTTGTAGTGTGTATTAGAGCCCATGTCAGGAGAAAATAATGACAACAACAACAACAAAAAAGTCTTATCTATACTGGAATGCCATGGTTTTATCCATTTTTCCGTATGTTATCGAGCGCCGAATTCTTTCTGTTTTTATGCGACAATGAAAATTCTGAAAAGAAGGATATTAAATAAAAGTGTAGATGGGAACAGATAGTTGTGTCCTAATCTGTGTTGTATGTGCCACATTCAAATGCAGTGACTTTAACAGAAGATTTTCGCTTAACTTCCATTACACTACAGCTCAAAATGTTGGGTCAGTAGGATTAAAAAATAAATAAATAGATTATAAATTAATACTTTTATTGAGCAGGGACGCAATAAATTGATCAAAAGTAACAGTAAAGACATTTAATGTCACTTTTTATCCAAGTCTTTTGAAAAAAAAAAATTTTTTTTTCAAATTACATTTCTAAATATATTAAAATTGAAAGTTGTTGTTTTAATTGTAATAATATTTCACAGTATTACTGTTTTTACTGTATTTTTAATCAAATAAATGCAGTCCTGGTCAGTGTTGGGGAAAGTTACTTTTAAAAGTAATGCGTTACAATATTGCGTTACTCCATAAAAAAGTAACTAATTATGTTACTTAGTTACTCACTTCAGCAATAAAAAAAGACACACAAATGTTTGTCGAGAGTAATTTGTGCTTATTTGTACGGTTGAACTGGATCATCGAAGGTCAGAAGCAAAGACATTGTTTAATAGAATGGGATTAAATACATAAAGGATATTTGTGTTGTTTAACATTTAATTATTGCAGGTTTGCGTCATATTCTGAGTTGCATTATTTTTATTCATTTTGAGGAATACTGAATATGTGTGTTTTTTTTTGTGAGTGAGATGAATTAATGCATATTCATATTTATTTTAGAACTACAGTAACATCTGATTTCTCTCAACATGGGGACAGGAGAGCTGTCAATCAATAAATTGGAAAAAAAAAAAAAAGTAACTTGCGTTTCTTATTTGAAAAAGTAACTCCGATATTCTCTTGTAAATTAAAAAGTAAAGCGTTACTTTACTAGTTACTTGAAAAGAAGTAATCTGATTACGTAACTCGCGTTACTTGTAATGCGTTACCCCCAACACTGGTCCTGGTGAGTTTAAGAGACTTTTTTTTTTAAAGCATCTTTTTTAAAACAAACAAAAATCTTACTGACTGTACACTTTTGAACGTTAGTGTATATTGCACATTTGACATATTATTATATTGACTGACATATTAATAGACTCCTGCATTATGACTTCGGTGAATAGCGTGTTGGCAGTTTGGAGGAGACTGATGGGCAATAACATGGTAATGATTTTCAGTTTATCATGCACAAGTAGGTGTTCAGTAGCACAGGTGTTAAAGCTTTAGGTTTAGTGGCATTTCTCATATATTGCACGGTTTCTGCTAAACTTTGCATCCCGCCTCATGAGTGCTATTGAGTATATATTTGCAAACAAAAGCA